ACATAGATGATGATTATTATGATTATGAAATTGATTAACTGTGAGCTTTGCTTATAGTTTAGAAAAAGGCTTTGTTTCTTTTTTTTTTTTTTAAATAGACTTCATTTTGGAGCAGTTTTAGGCTCACAGCAACATTGAGAGGAGGGTACAGAGATTTTCCATACATCCCCTCTCCCACGCATGTACAGCCTCCCCCATTACAAATGCCCCCACCAGAGTGGCACATTTATTATAATCAATGACACATCATAATCACCTAAAGGCCACAGTTTACATTGGAGTTCACTCTTGGTGGTGTACATTCTATGGGTTTGGACAATGTACACGTGTGACATGTATCTACCATTATATTATACAAAGTAGTTTCACTGCCCTAAAAATCTGTGCTCCAGAAAAGCCTTTTAATCTTCAATCTTTTAAACAGAAATATTTTATACATTTAGATATAGAAAAGACTCTTTTTTGTAAGTTTTTCTTTTTTAAAGAATGAAATGAGGTTAAGATAAGTTCAGATGGGAGGGGTAGGTAGAGAAGAACAATGGTAAGATGATATAAGATTCCTTGCATGTTAAAAATAATTTGATTGTGTTTTATACTGAAACCTAGATAAATAACAATGCCAAATAAAACTGCCATCTGGCTAACTTCCTGCAAATAAAGTTCATTTTATCAAATTAAAAGTGATGATTTTTGTATATCAAGTTAATATAGAGATATAGACCTACACTATCATAGGCTTTTTGACTGCAAGCAATAAAAACTGACTCTGACCTAAGCAAGAAGGAATTTTTGGAAAGATAAGGGACTAGGTCACAGAATCAAAGGAAAACCTGAAGAAACTGGAGAGGACAGGGAGCAGAATTGCTCTGTTGCCCCAGGCACAAGGACTTAATGAGGAGACCTCCAGCTTCTGGAGGTTTCTCTCTGCAGGAGGCACTCCTGCTACTCTTTTAAGTGTTAGAGTCCCTCAAGATTCATATCCTCAGAGGGAAAGGTTAACTGGCCTCGCAGGAGTCACATGTTTGCCCTTGGCTAAAGGAAGGTAGTAGGTCTTGTTTGACATTGTTACCAAGACCGAAGGGAAACAAGAAAGGAAAATATAAACTGGCACCTTATATGTCCCTACATTTAAGATGTCCCTACACAGGCAGATGTCCCTACACAGGCCTTCTTGAAAAGAATTGTGCTTTGAGCTAGATTCACTTCTCCTGGAGTTGACCACAATCCCGACACTGCCTGCCTTTCGATTACTGAATGCTTTTGAGAGTTGCCTGTCTGGGGATAGAGGTGGGACTGTAGAATTTTTTTGTTTCTATCCATCTACTTGTGAACACAATCTACTTACAAATAAAACTGAAACCCCATTCAAATTATTTTCTGTTGCAGTATTTTATAAATACCCCCAATGGCAGCGAAAGTGAACAGTGGAGATTGAGTAGCTGAGCAAAGATGCCCACCAACACTCTCTCCAAAGTGTCATGTTTCAAGTTAAACTTTTATGCAAAATTTGCATTACTTGCTTTATGTCCATGTTTTCTTCTTCCAACATCTTTATACAATTGACACTCTTGGAGAAGATGCCTTTTTATATTATGGTTTCTAGCACTCCCTGGCACATTAACAGGTATCCCACCCAAGTCCATGAAGCACAGAAGTAAGGGAACTCGGACGTGATTTTCCATTATTGTGTAGGGCTTCAACTCTTTTAATGTGTTAGACCTACAGTTTTCTCTAAGAAAGGCTAATGATGTTTGATGTGTAACGGTTTATACCCACTGACATTGACTAGATGTTAATAATCAGGATCTCCAAGCTGTGAAGACTTTGAGAAAGAATCCAGTCTGAGGGCGCTGAGGGACTCAGGCTCATAGGAGTGAAGTGACCATCAGTTCACTCACACAGGAAGTGGCAGAGCTAGAATTTGCAAATCTGCCTCTCTCTCTCTCCACATGGAGACATTGCTCTATCCCAGGGTGCCAATCACATGGTGCCATATGTTAGTGGTATCCCCTAGAGCTATGCAGTGGACAGTGTGTGTCCTACTGAAGGCCCTCTCGTCCCTCACTGGGTCCCCCCCCCAACCACTCAAATCATACCTGCTTAGCCCTGCCAAATGTCAGGACTAAACCACTGCCTGGTCACCCCCCTCCTCCCCCCTACTGGCTGCTCCCTTGGTCATGCAAATCCTGGCTGAAGCTTTTAGAATCCACCCTGTGGAGGCTTGATTGTTTCTTAGATGAAAGATTAGCCTCCCTTTCATCCTTGAGGAAGGGGGTGAGAATCCTAGTTTGGAACCCCTAAAGGAATAACTGAAATGAATGGTCTGAAAAGAAGGCATTGGTACTCCTGGTACACACACATGGTCACACGGAACCATAATGCTTTTATCAGATCTGATATTTTCATTCAGGAGCATTCTTAGTTCCTACTCAGACTTGCTCAGAATTTATAAACTTTAAAGAGATTTTTCCTCACAGACTTTATAAATTTCTGTTATAGCAGGAAACTGTAGACTTGTCTTCTTTTGATGTGTGGGCTTTCTGCTAATGCCTTTGCAAAGGGGCTCACAAGTCTGCTCAAATCTCTGCTTGGTGGTATCTGTGGGTCTCCTCCCTTACTTCAGAGAGAGGAGGTTCATGGATGTTCTGGCTTTAGATGGGAAAGGTGTCTTTAAGGCTGATGCTCAGAAAACTCCTTCCTGTGAGAGAGTCCTTTGTCTCTATAGTTGTTTACTATGTCCCTTCATCAAATAATGCTCTGGTGTTGAGGCCGTAGCCAAAAATTCTGGTTTACTCATTATAAAACAGCCAGAGAGGGGGGAGGGGATCTGTCTGTTGATGTTTAACTCTTTCATGGTTTTTTTTTTTTGTTTTTGTACATAGGTTGTACAGAATTCACCAGCCCTGAGAAAATGTATAATAATAATTTTTTTAAAGCTCTACTTTGCCAGCGGTCGGGGCTATTATGTCACTCATTTAACTAGATATTTTGCTCTTAGCTAAATTTGCTTCAATAAATATGGACACAAATGAAATAACTTCCATCTTTATAAGTCAACCAGAAACTCCGTGTTTTTCCATCATACAGTTGTGTAGTGAATGTTAAAAGTTGGATTCTTGCCAGCTTATCAGTCTGAAATCTCAAGGAATGGTAAAAGTACCCACAGCAGTTTTATGAGAATAAACTTTGTAGAGCTGGTGCCATCCCAGTAATAATAGTGGATTAGCTTAACATTTTGATTCAGGAACATTACTAGCACTGTCTCTGAGCTCTGGTATCTGCTCCTGACAGGGAAGAGCTGCTGTGATGGATTTCCCTACCTTTTTCTCTCTAAGGCAAGATATTGTTCTAATAGTCTCTATAGGCTTTCACAAAACACTGTTTCTATAAATCCAATATAAAGGATTTGATTTAATATCCTTTATCCAACTTTCAAAACAGTCACTGACAACTGCTTTTAGAGTATTTTTATCCCAATCTATTTTGGTTTTAGAAAAATACTTAGTAAATAGTCCATCCTTCCCACCTATTTTCTCCCTACAACACAAACCCCCACAATCTCCACTACCCAATATTGGATTATTGAGGCTGATAGTACTCATTGCTGCTGTAGGGTTTATCATCTACTTTAAAAAAATAAAATAAAAAATGCACTGAAAAGAATACTGTGAATAGAAAAAAAAATCCAAGTTATATGAAAAGTAGCTCATGATAATTATTCACTTGAAAATACAATGAAGTTCCAAAATGGGATCCCTTTGTTAAAGGCTATGTATATTTTTAACTTCAATTGATCCCAATAGATTATTTTACAAAGATTACTTCTTCCAAATGTTGTATAAACTCATTAGCAATGTTTGTAGACACTTGTTTTGAAACAGTCATCAGCATTTATCCTCAGTCTCTACAATGTTGCCAGTCTGATGGGTGAAAAAAGAGTATCTCATTGTTTGGCCGTTCACATACCTGACGACCAGTGAGGTTGAGCTTCTTTTCTATGTATTTGCAAGCCTTTGCATTTCCTCTTTAGTTTACAACCTGTTCCTGTACTTTGGTACTTTAAAAAAGAATTCAGTTTTCTGTTCTAAAAATCAAATTACAGGATTTCTTTGTATAGTAGAGATATCTCTGTTTTGTCAGTAATATTACTAATATTTTCTTCCAGGCTATTCTTTTTCTTTTGGCTTGGTTTATATCTTTTGCTTTACAGAAAATTTTAACCTTTAAATAGTCAAACTAGTCATGTTTTTATATACAAAGTATACATTATGCACATGTGTGAATATATACACTAAGATACATTTTAATGTGTATATATGTACTTACATGTGTGTATATGTATATATAGTGTATATATATCTATCTCTATGTATAGATATGTATCTTAGTAACCTGTTTTTCAGTATTCTGTTACTTAGAAGTTATCTTCCCTTTAGAGGGGAGTGACATGCGCTGAATTGTTTCAGGAATATTAATTACTAAGGATCTTTATTCTCACTCTTGGAAAATTAGCCTAGCTAGAAGGCTTGACCAAAGAACAATAGCAGGACCTCTTTAAGGGGCTCACTCCCACCTCTGCAGACACTTCCTTTCGCGGAGCCTGGATGATCCCAGCATCAACACTTGTTGAGAGCTATTTTCTACCCCTAGGTTTTTCTCTGGCATTTGTAATTCCAATCCATTTGAGCCACTTTTACTCCTTGGAAACCGTTTCTGGCGGGGTCATGAGATTAAACAGACAGTCTAGGACGCCCAGGACCCGAGAGATGCTGTTGTCCCTTGAAATCACCCTCTCCTACTGGATCCAGCTCTGGTGTCAGCAGCGTCTGCTCCTAGCCCTCCACACGACCAGGGGGCGCACTCGGTCACTGGCCCACCTACTTCGGAGTCGCGCGCTATCCCTCGCCGCGCCGGGCTAGGCTACATCCTCGAACCCAGAAGCCACGTCAGAGTTCCACGCCGACCAATCAGAGTTGTCTATGTACTAGCGGGGGTGGGACTGCCAAGGGCGGAGGAAGATGGCGGCGGGGGCGAGGTGAGGTGTTGGCAGTAAAAAGGGTTTGGGCGCGGGGGGAGGGGGACGCGGAGCGATGGCCCGCGCCGGCCGTAGGGGTAGATAAGAAGCCGTCGTGCCGCCGGTGTGGGACGGAGGGAGGGTAGGACACCTGGGCGCCACGAGAGTATGACGGGGCTGTACGAGTTGGTGTGGCGGGTGCTGCACGCTCTGCTCTGCCTGCACCGCACGCTCACCTACTGGCTCCGCGTTCGGTTTGGCACTTGGAACTGGATCTGGCGGCGCTGCTGCCGCGCCGCATCCGCCGCGGTCCTAGCGCCGCTCGGCTTCACGCTCCGAAAGACCCGGGCTGTAGGCAGAAACCGCCGTCAGCACCGGCACCCACGAGGGGGCCCGGGAGCGGCCGCCGCCCACCCCCGGCTACGCTGGCGCGCAGACGGCCGTTCTCTGGAGAAGCTGCCTGTACACATGGGCCTGCTGATCACCGAGGAGGAGCAGGAGACCAGCTACTCGGACATCGCAAGCCTCGTGGTGTGGTGTATGGCCGTGGGCATCTCCTACATTAGTGTCTACGACCACCAAGGTGAGATCCAGCGCAGGTAGGGGGACCGGGGCGTCTCCGACCGCGGGGACCTTACGGCGGGCTGGTGTGTACCCGGGGCGCACCGCTGCTCGCAAGCCCTCCCCGCTCCGCGAGTTTCCCGTCCTGCGGCCCTTACGTGCAAGTTACCGTGTTCGCGCTTTCGAGGAAGGGAGATGAGCTTTATTGAACACCTACTAAGTCTCTGAATTCGATTAAGTCGCTTTCTATACATTTAAAAAGTATGTATTAATGCCCCAGTAAGGTAAATAGCATTTGTATACCCTTGTTTCTTTCACAAGTGAAAGAAACAGAGCTGAGGATCAGCAACATTCACTGATTTGTCTAAAGTCACCAAGGTGGTAAAATAGGGAGATTGAAATTTGAGCCAGTCTGTGCTTTTCTACATCTTTGCCCTTTTATTACGCTACAGCGTTTCTTCAGAGGTTCAAGGCTCTGATCTTAAGTCACAGTCAGGCTGTGGAGGATTTATGTTTAAGCTGAATGTTTGGAGCCAGGTGGCATTTGAATTGGGCTTGTGAAAACGATGTGAGAGACTGGATAGGCAGAAAAGAAAACATCACCTTTTGTCTTGGAGGTCTGGGATGGAACCTTCATCCTCAGTGGCCAACACAGTACTTGACACAATAATTGTCCTTCCATGGTTTTGATTGAGGGAATTTTCACTCTAGGGAATTTTTGTAAACACCAGGTGGCTACAGACCTAAAGCACTGTGCTAGGCATTATGCTTGGAATCTTACATCGAAGTCCATGGAGTCGCAGGCTTGCAGGGAGTAGACACATGCTCACGGAAGTGACATGGCCATTAACAAGAAATGTTGAGAGTAAGGAACCACTAAGGAGAATGGGGGAGAGAAATTCTGAATGGAGGAACTTGAGAAGTTCATGCAGAGAGAGGGATTTCAGCAGGACATGAAAGAATGAGTAGGAGATGAGGTTATGGAATGCTCTGACTGTCAGGTTTGGGTTTCAGTCAAGTCCTGAAAGCAGGGGAATTTCCTTAGAGAAAAAGGTGTGACGAAAAGAATGATTTAGACGTATTGGTATGAAGGACAGAAACTAATGTTTTATTCTCTGTTCAATAACTTAAATTACTGGTATGATCCACAGAAGCTACAACTTGATTTTTAATCTTTACATCTTTGTCAGATGGGTAGGTTTAAGTGTGGATTTAGTCAGAAAGTGTAGGTTGAGGTCTGACTAACTCTTAACAGGACATTAGAGTTATCTTTGATCTATAACCTTTCTTTCAGCCAGTGAGAAATATGGGGACTAGGTAGCCTATCATCATCAAATGATGATTTGACCTGTAGGGTAAAGTTTAATATACTCAGGGACTGACATTTCATGGAACTTGCCGAAGAACTCAGCAGAGGAATAGAAATCAGACTGTTACTAGGAGACATATCTTTGCTTAAAGCAGTGCAGCAGATAGATTTATTGCCTTGGGAACAAAATAGGGAAGCAGAAATGGAAATTAGTTAAGGCCTTTAAGCAGTGTGGTGAATTTACTTATAAGTGAATCACTAATATCCAAGTGGTTCTTTTAAAGCGAGGTCCTTTACCTTCTAGTAGGGAAGGAAAATGTGGAGCAAACAGTTTAACTTGGTGACAGTGCCTGCTAACACAGATTATAATATTGTCACACTTCCTTGTTCTGACAATTCCTGTTATTGAATTGCTTATGGGATTCAGAAATATCCTGTGCCATATTCTGTAAAATAAAAATGATTGGTAATGAAGAGGAGGAAGTCAAGCTGACCAAGTATTGACTGACAACTGAAAGGAGTTTTAAAGAGCATTTTCAGTGAATGGACTTAGAGCACTTGGTGTCTACTATACAAGCAATTTTACTACTTCTTAAGGGATAAGGAATAATTTCATTGTCTAAAATAAGAGACTTTCCATTTACCCATTCTTGGTTTTGATTGATTGAGTCATTCATCCATTCATTTACCAGCTGACAATTGGGCATCTGTTAAGTACCAGATACTGTTCTGTACATGAGGGTACACCAGTAAACAAAACAGACAAAAATCTCTGTGTTTATGAAACTTAAATTTTAGTGGAAGTCTGACAAGTATTATAAACGAGTAAAATATGTAGTATATTAGATCATAAATAATAAGGAAAAATAAAACAGGGAAGGAGGATAGGAATGTTGCAAGTCAATGGTGGAGGAGGGGCTGTAGTTTTAAATAGACTGGCCTAGGACAGCCTCAGTGACTTTTGATCATAGACGTGGAGGACGTGAGGGAGCAAGTCATGTGGATATGTGAGAAACTTTGTCCTTAGAGATCCTTTAGCTTTGCTTGGTTTTCTCCAACTAACTTTAAGCTGTTTCTATGTAGATATTTAACTTATAAAAAACTCTATTGACATACTCACAAATGCCAGATTTCTTGAGCACCTTCTGTGATGTAAAGCACTGAGATACAAAGGAATACAAGAAGTTGTGTCCCTTAAGGAGTATGCACTCAAGTTAGGGGCATCTACTAAATATTAATACCAGCAAATACATAAATGCTAGTGAGTGGCACTTTTAAAAATGAGTATTCCTTCTATAATAATTATAATTGGATCTAGATTATATTTAATCTAAAAAAACCCATTGATATTTACCATGGTTTGACTCTGACAGCAACCTGAGCCTTTTATTTTCATCTACCTGCAATACTACTTGATTATAATAATTTCTGCCAGTATTTCTTTAATCTGTTGGAAATTGGAGTTTTCTCAGGAATTTCTAGAGCTCAGAATTCTAGTAAGGAAACTTGGCTGTTTTTGTTACGAGATTATAATCAAGAAATGACCGTAACTGGATAGTACAAAAATTGCAGTTTGGGAGCTTTTGGTGCTCTAACAGTGTGGGTGCTCTGCGTGCCTAGGTCTCACTTGAAGCATACTAGATCCAGGTTATCTGGATATGTATTATTATCTTCAGTGATGGAGCCTGTTCATATTGCCCAGCTGTGTTGGTGCCATGCTGGGAACCTTGCTATAGGGCAGTATTTTCAAAACATGGTCTGTGGGCCATCTGTGAATGAGTCATTGGGGATACTTATAAGAAATACAGATTCAACACAATTGATCAGACCTAATTAGGGAATGGGACCTGAGCATCTGTATTTTTATCAAACGATCTAGACGATACAGCTGTACACTGAAGTTTGACCCTAAAACAAGTCAAAGGATACTCTGCTACCTACCTTAAATGAAATCATTCATCCTTCATGTTCCTCTTCGTGAATGAGGATAATCTGGGTGGGTCTTAATATTACTGTACTTAGTGTAAATTTGAGAGATCCAGAATAGGCTTGCCTTCTATGCGAGAATTCAGTAAAAGACAAAATGTAGCTCTTTTTAGTGTCACATATGTTCATTGTACATCCACACTAGGTGTTTTATGAAATGGTTTTTGTGTACAGGTTTCTCATGCTTGCAGTTAAAAGGTCTGCCCACTGTACTGCCAACCTTCCAACCTATTCCTCACTATCTTATATACCTTTTGCTTAATCCATAATCAGGTTACTAGATGTTCCCTCATCCTCAAGTGTATTCTTGTCCTTTTCCTGGCAAATGGCTGTGACCTGTCAAAAGACTATCCTTGATCATTGTAAGTCTATCCTGTTACCTCTTACACATTCTCTACTATTCCTTTCCTAATCTTGTTCTATCCTTGAGTCTACTTAAAACTGTACACCTGTAAAGGTACTTCTTTTGTCTGTTTTTTTTTTAAATTGGGGAATTGGGGGATGGGAACAGTGCTGGGGGATTGGGGGAAGGGGAACAGACAAGTTGCTGTCGTTTTGTTCTTCAGTCTCATTGTGGAGGACGTTGCTTCACTGCCCCAAGTTGGCACCATCATTGTGCTCTTCCCAGGCGAGGCAGATCAGTTGCCGGCTTCTGGACGGCCGCTCACTGCGGCTGNAAAATAAATTGACTTTTTAGTTCTTCAATTATGAGAAGCTAAAATTTTTAAAATCCTTTGGAAAGGTTGAAGTCAGTTCAGAAGTCTGAATTGGGGCTTCAGTTATCCCCAAATAAATCTTTTTTTTTTTTAAAGATTTTTATTGGGGAATTGGGGGGATGGGAACAGTGCTGGGGAATTGGGGAAGGGGAACAGAAAAGTGGCCCTCATATGTGGGATCCGAACCGGGGCCCTCTGGCGTCCCAAGCCAGTTCTTAACCATCGCGCCACTCGGCCGGCCCCTTTTGTCTGTTTTTTAAAGTAGTAGTCATATGTATTTGTGCCTGAATTTTCTTCCTAGATTATAAGCTCCACAGATGGTATCCTTCTCATTTGCGTTTCTCCTACATAATGGAGCTTGGTGTTAAGCATATAATGAGTAGTCAGTATGTATTCCTTGAATTGAAAGGAAGGCTGCATTTTCTGTAGATAAGAATAATGAACTGAGTTGCAATTTGTTTCCTGACACAAATACTACCGACAAGCCTTAAAATAATGGAGAAAAATAACATAGTTTTCCCCTGGTTTACTTATCTGGCATACTGACACATGCTATTGGCAAATATGATTTTATTAAGTACGCTATTGTCCTTGTTTTGAAATACAGAGTTGCTGGAAGTGGTGAAAATCCAAATGTAAATGTCATTACGTTTTAATACACCAGACAGTGCAAACTAGGGTACCTGGCTTCCCTTATGCGGTCACTCATGTAAAGGAGCATTCGAGTCCCAGTCTCCACCTTGTATAGTTCACTTCTAGCACAGAATTTTACATCTATCTCAGCATTTGGGAATGTCCTCTTCTCCTTTTGCTGCCATAAGGCTAGCAACTAGCCAACAGGCTGTCATCAATCCTTGTCTATCCAGTCTGACTGTCACCTCCTGGGTAACCTTTCTCAACTGTTCCACCCCCAGTTTTACTCTGTCTTTGTCAAGTTCTATCCTGCTTTTGTTACCTTTTGAAATAACCTCATGCTCTGAGTATCCTTCTGTTTAACCGTACTGCTGGATC